TCTGAATTAAAAATCCAGATCAGGTTAATAGATTTTCAGGTTAATATTAGGTCAGGTTGACCTGTTTACCTGACCTAACTTGACCTGATTTAATAAAATTCAGGTCAACCAATTAAATTATATTAAGGCAATAATATATATTATCTAATATTATTTTATTAGAAATACTAATCCCTCATTTTCAGGTAAGATTTCTAATCATGTGTATATTGATTAATTTCCTTTTATAGAATTATATATCAATATATTATATTAGTTGTAAAATATTAAAATGATTAAAAATGATAAGTAAAGTAATAAAATAAAAAGTTTATTATACAATAGTCTATTTTACATTTAAAAAATATATATTTAAAGATTTCAAGTGTTCAAAATCCAATCTAAAGAAAAAATATGATACTGATCATCTCTTTACAGTAATCATATCTTATTACGTATTATTGTAGAAGGAATAATATTGCATTCTCTCACTACAAAAAAAGAAATTCGAATTGCTGCAGAGAAGAAATATTTCACTACAAAAAAAATTCAGATTGCTATAAAGTTTCATGATGTACACCATCTTTCACATTTTGATAATAAAACTTTTTTAATAAATAAACACGTCAATAATTTTATTTTTAATGCAAAAATGAGTAATTAAACCTTTTTTGTTAGTTTCAAATTTAATATAAACTAGTATATAATTCACTAACAAATAAATATCAAGAATTCACTAATGCTTATGTATATAGTATTATGGTTAAAACAGGAAATGGTACCCTAACTGTGATAAAGTTTATGGTATAATAGCAAAAGAATGGAGCAAAATCAAAAATAAGAATAAGGCAAAAATCAAAGATATTATTAGAGATTATCTGACTATACGATATAATCTATATAATATATCAACATCAAGATCAAGGTCTTCTGTGTTTAGAAAAACTTTGACTCCTTCTCTTCTTACTCTATCTATGATTTATTCAGTTAATCTTATATTAGACATCTCCATCAATACATCAATATAAAGAAGGCAGAAAATAAGATATTAATAGCTGAAAAAAGCTTATTAAATTTGAGCAGATCTACAACATCATAACAGATTCTCAATTTCAGCATAATACGTATTTAAAAATTAAGAGTCTTTAGGCTAAAATTAAATCTAACAGAGAAAGAATTATTAAGTTGAAAAGAAATGCTAATTATATTTAAAAATGCAAAGAAAAAAAAAGAAAAATACTTATCGAAAACAAGAAAATAATATTATATGATAAATATGACTATTCTCTACTTCTTTTTAAATATCTAAATTCACATGATCATATCTACAATTTAATCAAATTTAGAGCAGCTGATGAAAAATGATAAAAAAAAATAGTTAAGATACGAATCATTAAAAATTTACACAAAAAACTTAAAGAGAATTATAATGTTTATATAACAAGAACAACATTGAATAATTACCTGCTGCCTCACCAATCCAACTCTATTATTGCAAAAGTATATCACTATTCAGTATAGTTTATAGTAGCTGAAGTTGTACATACTAAAATATGGGACTATCCTAATGGTCACTATTGTCTTGCATCTATTAATGCGCAAGACAATTTATCACAGTTTTTGCTAATAATTTCATTATTATTTTCTAAGATGATAAAGCGAAGATAGGACTTGGGGTACTTGCTGTAGGTCTGATATTTCATATATTACAGTCAATTTATGAGCCCGTTAATGTAGATAACTATGATTTTCCTCTAGAAAGTAAGAAAAAGTTAGTTCTATCAATTTATCTTATGATCAAACCAAATGAGTTAAATGATAAGTTACGAACAGGATAACTTACCATTTTTATATGCTGTCAATAGTCCTTTGGTACATTTTTATTCACACATATATAAGATCTCAAAAGCCTTATTCTAAATCCTTAATATGATAATATGTTAAAAACTAATGAAAAAACTCAACCTATTTGGATGTTATTAGTAGATAGAGGATCAGACGAGAATCTGAGACATCTAAAAAACATTAAAACATACTATTAATTTTTTCAGAAGTTCAATTTAGATTATTTTACTGTACGAATACATGCTTCAGGACAGTTTAAGTATAATTCAGTAGAAAGAAGCATAGCAACACTTTCTGGAAAATTGGCAGGTATCATATTACCAATTGATCACTTTAGATCACACCTAAATACACAAGGCAAAGTTATCAATTTAGAGTTAGCCCTTCAAAACTTTGTTATGCTAGAGAATTACTTTGTGAAATCTGGTATTATATCTTTACTATCATTAATATTTTTTTTAAGGTATTATCTTAGCATGTCTAAATAATTTTATCATAAAAATAAATTTCACTTGATTTGGCTTTTTTTTATAAGTATTGTGGATGACACATTAATCAATAGTTAAAGGAAAATAATAACGATTAATTACATTTCACATCTTGCTTTTACATGTATTTTAAGAACATAGTAATACCATTAATGTATATAACTTAAACTCTACTTAATATATATATTCTAATTTCTACAAGAAGAATTTAATAACTTTAATGATAGCTAATTTTGTAAATTTTAATTTATTAGCAGAGTTAGCTATATTATAAAATTTTAGACTAAAACCCAAGATCATTGCAAAAAATGAAGAACGATAACATTTGTATATGTAATATTTTCATATTTAGAGAGAGAGAAAGAGAGCTTTTATTTATTATTATAATAAATAAATAAATTATAATTCTAATTTTAAATTGAAATAATTCTAATGGAGAAAAAAAATTTTAATTCTTAATTTTCGAAATTTGAATACTTCATAATCTTCTATTGAAAAATTTTCTTCATTTCTTATTCTTTTTTCATACATTATTGCCTGCTGATATTGTTATTATATTCAGATATATTACCAAAAAATTCAATATTACTTAAACTAAGATCTTCATAGAACGAGAGATCATAAAGACTTGAATAATTTAATGCACAGTCTATATCATTCACATGGCTTAAAATTGAATCTTTAAAACTGTTCTTGTTCTTAAAAGAAAATATAAAACTATCTTTGGTTTTACCATACCCATTGGATTTCCATACTAAAGGATTATATCCTCCAAGAATTTCTTCAGATTCTTTGACTTTGATGAAAGTGATTATGCGAGGCATATCATCACATAATTGATGAAATATTTTAAGAGTAAACCCATCTCGACTTCTTCTTAACAATAATTTAAATTCATATGGCAAATACAAATCTCTCACAAAAGCAAAATTGCTTTTAATTTCAAACTTATCGATCCATTTTTGGAAACAATATTTAAATTAACAATTGCGTTATCAATAACGACTCCTCTACATCTAGGGAGTAAAAGACTGTCACTTGGTTCACTATCTTAGTCCAAATAAGAATCTAATAAATCTTCGAAGAGTTGATGTTTCAAAAGCTTTTTATATGGACGAACTTTTTTGATAAATTCATAAGAAGATAAACTAAAAAATCTAATAAAGGGCAAACAGTGTTGTAAAGTGTTTTCTACCATTTTGAAATCATCTGACCACGTCAAGGGATCTGGAATAAGTGTGGGATGTTTTTCAAGACCCCATTTTAATACATGCTCCCAAACTTCAACCTCTTTCATTTGTAAGTCATCCCTCCTAATAAGTGAGATTAAAAATTTTTCAGGAAGTGAAGTAAAGTCAAGTGATTTGAATACCTTTACCGGTGCTTTAACCATAATATCTATACATAATTGTTGAAGGTTTAAAAAAGAATTGGATAGAAAGCTAATTCTATAAGTAAGCTCAAAATGTTGTTCCATCAATCCATCCTTATTTTCAATTAGATATTTTTGCAAGTATTCAACTAATTCTTGAAGATGAATCTCATCAGCAGCACGCATTACTTTTAAAGCGTTTAAAAAGTCTTTTTCATCTAATGACATAATTCCACCATAAATATACCTATTTATAAGAAAAATTCTTATATTATCAATTTTTTAAAAGAAAGTAATGTGCTTGCTTGATTCTTAAATTTACTTCAAAGTTATTTGAAAGTCTTCTGGTGAAATATTTGGTAATTTGATACTTGTTAGGGTACCGTCATTATTATTCTTCTTATTCGCCAAAATTCGTCGGAAATATGGTGAACGGTAACTCAAAATAATCATGTGCGCACGGAATATTCTAACATTTGGATCTTTTCCAGCTTCAATTGTAATATCATAATATTCATCGTCATCTAATATTTCGATAAAATTTTGACTTAATTTGGGAAAAAATTTTGCAGACATTATTTATTTTACGAAAAAATCCGTTAAGTTTTGTAAATTTGTAAATTTTAAGAAAGAAAGGAAAGTTTATTGTCGATTAAAAAAATTATCAAACATATATTTTTTTTCGAAAAAAATTCGGTGATTTTGATAATCATTTTTTGCTGAAAAATCTTCCTAATGTGGAAATCGAAAAAATTTCCGAATATTTTTTTAACTTAAAAAAAGATATCAAAGAATTTCGTTTATTTTGTGCTAATTTACCTAATAAAAATTACGACAGTTTACATTAAGCAAGTACACAATGTTTAAAATGTAAGATATAAGCTCATAGAAAAATAAGCAGTTTCAAAAAAGCTAGGGAGTAGATTTTGTCAACAAATATCCAGAAATATCATTTTCGTAATACAAGCAATTTTAGTCGATATTATATAGAAACTTTTGTTGACCTTTAATTTTAAAAGCTAGAAAAGTTATTACTGTTTCAAGTAAGTTTAGATTATTAATAATAAAATTGATCGGAAGCTGAGCTGATTTATAGCTAAATGTAATACTTATCGCTTCTATTATCTAATTTATTTTAATCACAAAAAATTACGGATACGCTTCTTAAATTGACCACAAAATATACAGTACGAACACAAGTAAGAAAAAGTTGTCAAATTTTCGGAATGAAATCTGAAAAATCTCGACAGCACATGCACAGCAAAAAAAAAGAAGTTTATCGAAATGAAGGCATAGAATATTCTCGAAAATTGCAGTTAGGGAACTAGTAAACTATTAATTAGCATTTGGATTTCAGGCAATATGTCAGACTGTTCATTATGTGGTGGGAATAATTCGTATTGTTTTCTTACATGACATGTTATTTCAGGAGTTTGTAAAGTATAATCATGAATTTGTTCAAGTTCGGGTTCTTCTTCAGGTTCTTTATCATTATCTTCTGTAATATATTCTCCTAATATTTCATTATATTCGCCAAATTCATTTACTTCTGAAAATATATTTGTGTCGAATTCGAATTCATCTTCTGAATGCAACTACTTTCTTAAGACTATCACGGGATTGTGACTTCCCATTTGTGTGACTTGGAACAGCTGTTAAATCGTTAACATCACTTCATGACATAAATATTTCCTTCTCAAATTTTCCCGCAAATACCGGTCAATATGACCATACTTGCCAGTTCCAAGGTAACATTGCTAATCCTCTCTACATTATTTTTTTTTATTCTTGATATTCGCAAAGAAATCTTTTCTGGAATATTTTATGCAAAAAAAAAAAATTAATAATCGGCAATCTCTCGTTCGTATAAGAGGTGCCGTTGGATATTTAACATTAAGTTTTCGCCTCAGAAAAGGAACGTGATTTCAGATTATCGTTATTAATTATTCGTCGTACAACCTTTATCTCTCGACTATCTATCAGAGAACTTGTGAATTATAACATACAAATACTTTAAAATTTTTACATATGTAAGAAAAATATAAGGCTCATCACGAATTTTTATCGTTTATAGAAGTTAAGATTTTCTTTATTAAGAATGATCTCTCTTCCTTCGGAAGAACTTTCGGTTAGTGTTCTTCTTTTACAACATTAACTTTATTTCTTCTTTATACGAACAAAAAATGTAAGCATATATAAAATTGGTTTTTAGACCATAGAAACCATCTTTAATTAGGGTTTGAACCGATGTTAACCCGATTTTGGACCGAAACCCGATAAACCAAACAACGATTAAATCTATCTTAGGCCGTCTAAGGAAGATTTATTCAACAATTAATTTAATACAATACTTTGTGTAGTTGGTTATTAGTCAAGTCTAAATGGAGACACGATAAAGGTTGAAAGTGTAACGTGAAATTTTGTTATTACAATATTTCGACGTCTCTTCACAAGACTCATCAATCTTATTTTTTGAAGTGTGTGTTTATTGCCTCAAGATTTCGGACGTCTTCTCTTTGGTCAAAGCGGATTTTCGGGGTTTCTCTCTATAGTCACGTCTGTTATAGTCATATTATCACATATAGTCACTTAAATGAATTTTATTAGTCACAATCCGCTTACAATCACTATCACATCAGTTTTTTGAAAATCTTATATCTAAAAAGTTTCGTCTTTAATCACAATATCACGTGAAATATTTTTTAACTAATAAAATTCCACACAAATAATTTAAATTTGACGTCTAATAAATTTCTTTTCATTATTAAAATATGCCGCAAATCGCACTTCTATAACCAAAGCACAATGATGCTAATTCCTTTTTTTATGAACAGCAATCTATTGATGATAGATGTAAAATAGAAGATCTTAAGGTTTTTAGACGTCATGCTTTAGATTCAAAAGTACATTTAATGCATCTTTTATAACAAAAATCAATTGAAGTTTTTTCTTGGTTCGTATAATTTTGATATATGCTTAATATAATTTCATAACAAATTACAGTAATAAAATATTTTTTTCTTTAAATAATCACATTTTTGTATTTATTATTAAAAATGTGATCAAAAAATTATATTTTTTTATAGTCCTCTTTATAATCGTCTAATATGGCCTATCCCAAATGTGTGCATTAGAGAGAGTTGACTAACTTTTTTATTTTAAAATAAATATATATCTATAAAGTAATAGAAATAATTAATATAACATATAAACGAATATAATTTAAATAACAATTATAATAAATTTAAGAAATATATATAATAAACAACGCAAAATTATTATGACATTTTGATTTTCATTATTTTTCCGCAGTTACTGCATCATTTGTAAATGCCGATTTCTTATAGCACCGATATATTAAATCCGTTCTTCGCTTCACTCAAATGAC